TCTTTTGTTTCTTGCAGTCTTCCAAACGATGTGGGTAAGTCAAAGGCTGGATCGGAGATCTGCTCCATTCGGAGTCGAATCTGATTGGTAATGTCGTCTTGCATTGGAGTGCATGCGGGCCATCGTCAGACTTGGAACTTCAAGCGTAACTGGGTCAGTGTTGGGGAGCTGGGAATGGGCGAATAGGTCGGCACTTTTTGGCGGCGTGGAGGCTTGCAGAAAGCAGGAGTTGGTCCAAGGCCTCAGCCTCTTGATGGGTAGGTGCCTGGTTGAATCTCCAGAGTCGTTGAAAGAATCCATGATTGTCAAGATAGCTGTACTTGGATTTGATGTAGGTGGTGACTGGTGGCGTTTCTTGGAGTGAACCCTTCTTGACAGGGCTTGGGTAAAGCTGCTGTATCGGACCCGAACAACTGTTTCAAGTCGAATCACAAAGCAGGCACGGTGGTCACTATAGAAGTGGTCACAGAAAGGATGGTACCCGCAAGCGTCGACAGCATCCAATAGGTTTTCAGAAACGAGGATGTAATCAATTACCTTACTTCCTCTGGCATAGGTGTTAAAATCGCTGATTCCGTGATTGTAGAAAATCGGATCTACAAGCTTAAGTTGCAATCGGATACCAGTCGCGATAGCCTCTTCCGTCCTCTTGCCAAATTGTCATTGAAGTCGCCTCCCACAATAATCTCATGACCATTGCGATGTCGTTGGCCACGCATTATTGAAGGTCGTCGTAGTGGTTCCTCCTTGGATCTAGGGATGGCCGTGATTCCTGTACATAAATGGCATGTAGTTGGCCAAAACGGTCCTATCACCAGACCTCTCAACACTCCCATCGTCACAGTATACACATTGTAAACTGATAGTCGCTTTCATCTTTGCAGGATAGAACCATCCTTGTCCAGCGGCCAAGGTAATCAGCCTCGGCCTCCAACACTCTGCCAACGGTTTGGCCCATCACCAGAGAGAGAGTACCCCCTGGCTTGTATTCACTAGGTGGACTGTGGAGTGCTGCCAAAGGTGACCTTCCTGTGGTCAAAGGCCTTCCTCACAGCTGCCTGAATCTTCCGTCTTACACCTGGCTGGTTAGTATCAAGATTGGGCTCCTGAAATCCAGCGTAGTCGGTTCCTAACATTCCCAACGTTTTGCAGTCTTCAAAGAGCTCCCCGCCATTTTCATCGTAAAGTGGGAATCCTCTTTTGTTGTTGAAGATGAATCTCGCCACATTTGGTGGCTTCTTGGGTGGCATAATGTCCCCCACTGGCTCGAAATGAGCCAGCATCCCCTTGATATTGTCCCATGAGTCAAAATCATCACTAACGGTGATTCAACTGCCCCTGCAGGCTGGCCTCCGCCCAGGAGTCCCATAGAACACTTGTGCCGGGGGAGCCCAGCCATCTTTAACTACCCCGCCACCAGGATGCCCCTGTGGTCCTGGTTGGGTGGGGTTGTGATGGGGTTGGGAAGGCTGGGGGAAATCCCGGGTAGAATCCTGCGTCAGCAAGATACTGGAGTCCATGGTAGGGTGGTGGTGTGACTGCTGGTAAGGCTGATGGGTAGCTGCTGGATACAACTGTGCTGGCTGAAGAGAGCGTGGATCGCCATGAGGACGCTTTTCATCTTGCTTGAGTAAAGGAGACGTCACAGGAATACCATCTTGAGTTGCAACATAATTCCAGCTTTGGTTTTATCTGAATGACTAAATTAATAATGACCCAGTACTCAAAACACGTAGAAATCTGCGTAGAAATTACAAGAATAATAAAAGAAAACAATAAAAGATCGACCATGACGAACAGCACGACCAATTACTACACCATGGAAAACACACCGATACACTTACAACAAGAAAATCACTACTATCAACACTTATGAACCTAAGGAATACGGACTGATGCTCCCAAGCCCCAATCTGAAAAACCGACCAAAATGACCCTTCTACCAACCAATACCCATAGTGGCAACAACCTGAGGTCAACAGAAATCCCACAACGGAACTTCTTCCATTGATTCTTTCCATGCACTCTCAAATGTGGCAACAACCGGGTGGAGCAGAAATTCCCACATCGAGTCTTCATGGGAAAGCAATCGACAAGACATTGGACCAGAACGGAAGTCAACTACTTCATCATCAACATTCATACCTTGAGCAAATCGACATCCCCTCCATTCAGCATTCACTGTGGCAACAACCTGAGTGATGCAGAAATCCCACAACAGCGCTTTGGATTGAGAATAAATGTCAACCACTTCAGAACCACTGCTTTGAGCAGCAATACTACGATTATCTTCGGTGCAACGGCAGCACCTCAATATTTTGGATCATTATGCACACTTCCCTTGAATGAGCGATGACCCAGGGCGCAGGATGTACTGCAACGATCGGGGCAAGAACCTGCTACCATTTTCTATTTCCTTTCTTTGGATTTATTTTTTATTTTGTACAGTCCTCATGCTACACATGAGAAACCCTTCTACTTGAACAGGCGGCCAGTAGTGCCGCTCGTCTTTCCTAGTGAAGTAAAAGCATGCCTTCGGCGCAGTAGAACATAATTCTACTAATCTTTGTGTCAAATCAAACCATCTTGAGTTGCAACTGCCTGGTACGTTTGAAGGTGGTGGTCGCTTCTGATAGGGATTGCCATGGTACCCCTGCAGAAAGTCTGGGTGTGTGTAGAAATCATTGGTGCCTTGGTGGTGATATTGTCCATGGGCTGGAGACTGATGAGGAGTCTGGTAATTTTCACAGTGGGGCACAGTCATACCGAGTACTGGACCATCATTGGTACCCCCTCCAGGAGGTTGTGGTTGTCTGGAGGAAGGAGGATTAGAGGGGGTGGCAGTGGCTTCAGATGGTCTTTGCATGTTGCTGAACAAGGCCATCATCGCTGAAATCTTGCTTCACTGGCTTCCTGGTCCTTTTGGTGCTTTGCTTCCAGTTGTTGCAGTTGTTCCTGGTGTTTCTTCTCCATTCTTTCCATGGCATCTAATGTGGACTTGGTCTGTTGCTGCATGGCTAATGTTGACTTGGTCTGTTGTTCCATTGCTGCTTTGAGGGCTGCTATTTCTTTGGACTGTGCATCACTAGTAACATCACTGGTTGCCACAGTGGTGGCTGTAGCTGGTACAGAGACATTGGTCACTGGTGCCTGATTCTGTCCCCAAGTTCTGACTTTGTCTGCCCAAGTAGACATGATTGCCTCCAATGAAGCAATGGAGGCATCATCATCTTGATACAGCGTTTGAAAGGAGCGACTGCTGTATGAGTACTGATCCCAAGAGTCATCCCTTGGAGTTCGTGGTTGTCTTTGAATGACAGAAGGCTCCTCATCTTTAAGGGCATAGTCTTGTGGGAAGATGGTGGCATCTGAGAAGATATCTGCGAGTCTTTCCACCACTGTGTCTCTAGCACTCTTTTGGCAAATGGCATAGTACTGTCCTGTGGTGGCATATGATTTGTGGCGTTCCAGATCCAACAGCAGGGGCTTGCCATTGGCAGTGACTCTTCTCTAGGAGCAAAAGACGAATTTCATCCTCAAAGTTTGGATTCAAATCTTGAAGGGGGACTCCTGTGGTGGCATTGATGACATCCATATGTTGGATCACTGCCTTTTTCATAAGGTCATTGTACTTTCTTCATCATTCTTATTGGCATGGTTGCAGCAATGACACAAAGGGTAGCAATAAGCTAGCTAGAATTTAATGGCAACAAACAGCAGGTAATGCATCTACATGTTGGAAGGAAGTGCTGATGGAAGTGCTGTTGTGCTTTCATTACAGGACCTCTGTGGAAACGTCATTCATGGAAAAATACTTAACACGACCTCCGTGGGTCTACCCCCACCAAATTGCCACCAATCGGCACAAAAGCACAATGACGACTACATCAAGACTAATGGGGACAACCATATCAACTACACCATCCTCTAGTAACTATATTAGAATGAGGATCTGCCATATAGGTTCACCTGAAAATCCGAGTTGTCGACTGTGGGAGCCCATCTAGATACCGAGCTTTGTTGATTTCTTTCACGGCTTCTAGACGGGTTTCATGGCCTCTTTGCCGATACGGACGGTCTTGTTGTTGATGTAGTGAGCCCCGTAGACACTAATAGCTTCCACAAACGCCTTGGTCAACTTAGAGCCTTCGTGGTTTTGGATTGGAAGGGTCAGCTGGAAGGCGTCGATGCCGTCGACGGGCTCATCGAATTTCATCAACAGGAGCCTAGCCTTGGCATTGTCGCTCCGAGCCTTGACGGTATCCACCTTCCAGAAGTCTTCAGGTAGTTCGATAGTTCCATTCATTCGCCTGCGGTTGCCGGCAACTCCCTCGTACCGGAGGCGAAACTTCTTGGGAGGGGGGCCCATGTATTCCTCCACCACGAAGGAACCGTAGATCATGCGAGTTGTTGCTCCTTTCACGATGCGCATGGCAGCGGAAGACTTCGCGACGACCTTCCCTCGACCGTCCTTGAAAGCCTCCATCTTACTTACTTCCTTCCACTGGATCTCCGGATGCGAGTACAAGGCGCTCATGACAGACGATTGAGCAGTTCACGACCTGTGAAAAGAAGAGATGAAACAAGAGGCGATACAGTAGCAAACAAATGAGAGGAAGACGATCGAAGCAACCCCCGCATCACAAGCGGGTGTAACCAAGCAAGCTCGCCAAGAACATTCGAAGAGACCCAAATATTGCACCCACATGGATTGCGGAACGATTGTGGAACGTGCAGGCCCCGCCATTAGCCCAAATTTGCCCAGAGCATCATCGAACGGATGCATTGGCTGCACGAGAGCAGCCACCAGCCCGCCATAGAATCTGAAAGCACATCTATCTGTGTATGGAAGCATTCCTCGGATCATTCCTCGGATCGTTCCGCAGCCAGCCGGTGGGCTCGGGTGTTCTTGAGAAGAGGAGACGACAGTTGCGTGAGAAGACGACACAATTTCAATCCAACTTGTCGCTACCGTATCGCTCACCACTGCTTCCCCCACCATGTCGAACATTCACCGCTTCGGAACCCGAGAAGTCAGCTTTGCCATGCATCATCATGACGACGACAATGAATTCAATCAGGGAGACATTGTCAGCGAGCGGTCGATCGCAAAGATTGAGTCTGTTGTTAGCCGAGCCATGGACCACGTCAACCTGCAACACGAAGACAAGACGCTCTACATCATTCTCCATCCAATGCTCCATCTGGTGGGCTTCGCTGGTGTGCTAGAAGAGATGATTGAGACCAAGATGGGGACGATTGTGGAGTCATCAGACAACAAGATCTTGGTCCAAGCTGAAAATTTTCAAAAGCTTACCATCGTTCTTGTTGATGAGCAACTCCTCAGCAGAGCCACCGCTGCCGCTGCCACTACCGCTGCCACTACCGCTATCGGTACTATCGAAGAGGAAGACGGAGAAGACGATGAGCCGACATTTTCCCATAATGACTCTCTCGAGCGTGGAGACGATGGATCAGAGTCCAGCTACGAGGATTTCAGCAACCAGGGCTTGACTCAAGAGGTCTCCGCGGCCAACACCTGGTTCGAGCTGCCAGCCCACATGTACGACTAAGGGACAGCCTCTGAAGAGCGGCCGGTTGCCCCATGGCCCCTCTCTTGTAGCGACAGTTCTTGTAGTGACGCTTGTTCTGCTGTTAGCTCTGGTCGATTTGTGTCTTGTTGATGTGATGCTGCTGTCGAAATATTGTTCTTGGAAACGGCGTGACTGGATGGAGATACCCCTAGCAGTAAACTATTCATATTTTAGTTTTATCTAATGAAATAGTAGCCTTCTGTATGCTGGAAAGTATAGATTAGCCGGCTTATTGATTGGGAACCAAATCCGGAGAGACGACAAAGCTTTCATTCCAAAACATCGACCATGCCGACCATGCCGACGATGGACTCCCTTTCAAGCCGAGAGAGCGCACTTCCCTCCCACAAAACCCGAAGAAAGATCCTCCCAAGTATGTGTGTCTTGTTCCTGATGCGTTTGACGAGAGCTACCGTGATGGCAAGATGCGACGGCGCTCTCGTTTGGCTTGGAGGTTGGAAGGAGGATCCACCAACAATCCGCATTCGACAGCGGCACCATGGCGTCCCGTCAGGGCCGATACCAAAACCGTGAGCGCAAGAAGCGTCAAATTGTGTTTTCTCCATCTTCCAAACAGGAGAGGGATCAAAAGGGACGCCGTATCTTCTCTCCTCGTTCGCTTCTTTCTCCTGGCAAGAAAAAGAGCGGCGAAACCAATGACGAGGCGTCGCAGCCCAGAAATCTCTTTGGCAGAAAAACCAGGGCTTCGGCAAGGGCATTGGCAGCAGAAGTTCCGTCGACACCAGAACCAGCACCCTCACCAGCAGCATTCTTTCGCAGAAGAATGACAAGGGCGGGCAAAGCTGCAGAAGTTCCGTCGACACCGGAACCAATCATTGGCAGAAGAACGACAAGAGCATCGGCTGCAGCTCCGCCGTCGACACCAGAACCAGCACCAGCACCAGCACCAATCATTAGCAGAAGAACGACAAGAGCAGCTGCAGCTGCACCAGCACCAGCGCCAAAACCAGCCAACAAACCGAATCTGGTGGAAAAGTGCAAAGCAAACGGATTGAAGCTAGAACACTCGTGGGCACTTTGTGCGCTGAAGTGCGGCCCAGACCAAAAGGCAACGAGTCATTGGAAGAAAGGACCTTGCGAATGCCACGATCCTCCGATTCAGTGCAAACGATGCTGTTCAGTGTGTAAGGTGACCTCTAGAAAAGGCTTCATGAAATTGGAGATCAATACGTCGGCGGCGCCTCTTGTGTCGCCACCAAGTCCGAGGATGTCCAAGACGAGAGCGCAAGAGAAAATTGACCAAACAAACCAAGAGCTGGAGCAGGATTTTGGTTTTGATTGCGTCGATGAGACAACGTATCAACCGCCTGAAACCCTCCGAGATGTCGCTCGTTACCTTGGCATTCCAGGAGAGTTGAACATGCCGAGCACAAGACATTGGGATTCAGCCGAACAGGCGCAAGAGTTCTTTGTTGGAGACCCTCGCGCCTCGCTTCGCTTGGTGAATTCAATGGCGGTGACTTGTTCCAAAGTGATTGACTTTGGACTCAGTAAGAGTGCAAAGTCAGCTTCATTGAACGCTTCCATGCAGCGACAAGTTGGACTGGCTCTTATCAGGAGATCCCGACAGACGATGGCATCGGCAAAAGCAGCGACTGCTGCTTCGAGCAACGCCTTGGTAGCGGCAATGAATGGAAGCGACTCGGATGACGATAGCAGCGATTCGTTTGCCCCGTCGAGTGAATCTGATGACAGCTTTGGTCAGTTCGGCGAAACTTCACTCGCAGATCCTTTGATCGGCTTTGACCCAGACTTTGCCATCGAAGAAAGAGACAAGTTGGTGGCCTCCCTGCTGAAAATCTGTAATGCGCATTCAAATCGAAAGCGGCACGCCGAATACAGGACGGCCCGAGCCGTGTTGGTCGACGGCACGAAAGCCAAGCATTTGAATTCCATTCGGCAGCAGAACGGTCACAAGCAGTTCGGAAGAGAGTCAAGGAAGAGAGCAACGCAAGATTTCGAGCTTGCTGGTGGTGGCAAGGCACTTATTCCGCCTCCCATCACAAGGAAACGGGTCAGCGACCTGACTCTCACTCACGCTCTGATGGTGATGCTGAGCACCGACAATGTTGGCCTATGGTCGTGGGGTACGAAGACTGTCAATGTCTCGTCTCGAAACGGTCAACTGAAAGACCGATTTGAATTGCCGAAGGTCTTCACGAGAAGATCAAAACAAGATATCTATTATCATTACAAGGCAACCTTTGAGGGCGATGACGTGGACCGACCAAATTGGAAACCAATCGGTCGTACATTGTTTATGGAAATCCTAAGCCTCGTTGTGTCTGGCGACAGTGGGATGCTGACGGCCGTTGACTACGTGACGAGCATGCTGCTACACGACACTTGCAATTTGCTGCTTCGAATCATTGGAGATATGCTTGCAAGCGATCAAGGCATCGTCGAGAAGTTTACAACTTGGCTAGAAGTGACGAGGAACTTCCTCAAAGTTCAATACATTGAGCACGCAAGGATGGATGAGGATAATGAATGCTGCTCGCACGGCCTGCAGCACGCACTTGGCCAACCGGATAATTACGCGACAATGTACTATTCCGATATCGAAGAGAACTCCGATGCTGGTTTCAAGTTGGATGGCGTGGACGAAACAACAGCCGACGACGAGACTCCTCCCTCCATCTCATGCAACGCCTGCAAATTTCCTTTCTTTTTCCTTCACAATCTCGAAGAAGCTGTCAAAGAGCACCATCAAAGTCGACTTGATCGGATTGACAGCACTCGATCAGACCACGACGAGAGACTTGAGGATGTCTTGGCTGCCATCAATGATGCCGGAGAAAAGTTTTATCTTTTCATGGCGCACAAGAATCGTGTTGCCCAACAGCAAGACTCACAAGCACAAATAGATGAAGAGATGCAGCAAGAAGTGCGCACCAGTAAGAGTGACGGCACCAAAGTTATGGTTGTGATTGACTGGAAGATGAAATTCGAGCCAAAGGGTAGACTGGAGTCAACAGCCGAGCACTATGGAAAACGCGGCATTTCGTGGCATGGGGCTTTCGCCTACTTCTATCGATACCAGATCGATCAATCTACCGGAGAGGAATACGTCGAGCGCGTTGTCGTGAAGACCGACCAAATCTTGGAAGGCGAATCCAACCAAGGTGCCGAAGCCGTGCTCTCCATGTTCGAAGCCTTCCTTTGCGGTCTTGAAGATGAGTTTCCGCACTTGAAAGAACTTGTTGTTTGCTCCGATAATGCTAGCTGCTACCATAAAAAAGAGCTGATCTTGGGGATGGCTCTGCTGAACCTTGTCAAGGGTCGCTCCATCCGAATCACACGATACACCCACAGCGAGACGCAGGATGGGAAGTGTTTGATCGACGCACACTTCGCACGTGGTACTCGTCAAGTGATCAAGTATATCAAGTGCTCCAGAGCTATCGAGAACAAGAAAGTCAAAAGCTCCAAAGACCTCTCGATGGCGCTTGCTTGGAACGGAGGGATCCAGAACAGCTCTGTTCAGTGGGTTGGTCTGAACCACAAGAAGCTTACCCAACTCGTAGACGCTTTACATCCGAGTGCGCAGAAGGGCATGGAATATTTTGCAAGAGCCAACGACATCTTCTTTGAGGAAGAATCTTTCCGGAAGCCAAATCTCTGCGCGAGCGACCCAGCGTCTTGGCAGTTTGCCGACTTCAGCCTTCGAGTTTGGGCTTACAGCAACGTTGGTGAGGGTATTGTCTTTCGTTGCTCCGTTGGTGACGGTACGTTTGCCCCCGTGCCAGAAGAAGAGCAGCACGGCAAGGAAAATACAGGAGACCGGAATGAGGACAACGTTCCCGTACCTGACGACGAATCGGAAGACGATGACGACGTGCACCCAATTGTCCAACCCGACGAGGACGAGAACAACAGCGTCATTTCCGAAGATTCAGCAGCCGACCTCTATCTGGACGACGTTGATCGCTGGAAGAGGCAATCGTTTGGAAGCGCCAAAGAATTGCCCAAACCAGTTGGTGACAAGTTCGACCATACAAAACTCTTGACCGGAGTCAATATCATGGGCAAGACAAGCTTTGGCATCCTCAAAGCTGGTGCGACCACCACGATCCAATCAACCGGAATGGTAGGAAACGAGGTAGACGACGACGTGACCAGTGACGAGGAAAATGAAGACGATGGAACGGAGCCAGCCCAAGCATCAGACCAGTTACGGTCAAAGTCAAGAGCTGCAATTCCTCGTGCCTTGGCGATGGTTGAATCACTTATCAGCAGCCATACTGTCAAGATCAGCGCTGGAACGGACGGGCATGTCGATGAATACGATCTTGCGAAAGATTTCGTCCTCGACGGAAAGAAGACTCCTTTCAATAGAGGGTATGGACGACGTCCTCTCGTGGGAGATGTTTACGGGTGGAACAGGATGACGCCTCAATACCATGCCGAATGTGTGGAATTTTGCAGGAAAGGAGCCATGAACAAAGCAGATAAGATGAACGCAAAGCAAATGTATGACTTGCTATTTGAGAGGCACAAAAGCTACATGATCCCCTCGGAGCACACCATCCAGAACAAACTTCAACCCATGATAGAGAAGGTAAACAAAGAGGAAGAAGAGAAGAAACAAGACGAAAAGAAAAAAACCAAGGGCAAAACGAAAGCTGCCAAGGCAAAAGAGCAGCAAGAAAAGGAAGAGCCGCCTTCAAAGGAGTACGCAGCTGCCGAGAAAAGGGCGTTGGATGCTGTGAAACGAAAGATAAAGCAGCGAGGATCGAGTCTCATGAAACCAATGTACGTTTATCAGCGGCTCTACAGCAAAGGAGTTTGTTCTCGTTTGACAAAAGACGAACAAAAGAAGCTATCGGATAAGGTAAGAGGCAGATGGAGCGCCCTCAAGAGCTCAAGGAAAAACAGGAGAGACAAGCTTGTGAAGAAAGTATTATTGTAGCGTGGTAACCGTGTAAGAGAGCGACTATATACCTGTTACCGTCGTTTGCTGTTGCCGTCGTTTGCTGTTGCCGTCGTGCGTCGTTGCTCTAGCCATTAGATTGATGGACCTACACGGTTGATACCCTGCAGAGCCACTTCTGTTGCAGCCATCTAGGCCAGATCACGGCAACAAGACGCAACAGAAATAGCAACATCGAGCACCAAATAGAGCGGCGACTCGCGACTCAACAACAGCAACAACAACAGAACCACCTCTGCCGCCATTCAACCTCGATTTTGCCATATCCAGCCGCTCTTTCCAGTCAAAGTCACATCCTCACCACCCCGCAGCTGTCGGCCGACAGCATGGGTGGTCCACCGCTATCTACCAACACCTTTCCGGAGCACAAACGGAGCAAAATGGGCGGCGGAAGCAGCGCAACAGGTGCGTCCAGCTGCGTCCAACGTCACGACAAAAGACAACAACCCAGCTCTTTCTCCCCTCCGTTTGAGACGATCAGACAAGCTTTGGAGGCCATTCTTGTGCGTCTATAGTGTTTTTAATAGTGTTAGAAGACATCGGAAGTGGCCGCTAGCTTGTCCCCATCTTGGTTGATGGTGCTGGGTAGTCACTTTTGTGTCACGAAACCGATTTTTGAGTCGGGTTCACCCGCGAATCCCGTGTTAAGAGACGATACATCGAGGCATAGGAGATGATTTAAAGGATTTAAGAGACGAAAGCAATCGGCTCCTATATTTAGGAGATGATTCAGTAGGAGACATTCCAATTAGAAGACGATCGTTTCGAAATAGGAGACGATCCAAAAGATTTAGGAGACGATACCATACAGTTTACATGGTACACTTAGGAGACGATCCGTTGATAATAGGAGACGATCCGTTGAAAATAGGAGACGATTCAAGAGGAGACGAAAGATTTAAGAGATGATGCGTTTCGTCTCCTATTTTTAGGAGACGAAATCCATTAAATAGGAGACGATCAACAGGATTTAGGAGACGATCGATAGCACGACTCGAGTTTCCACAGAGGTCCAGTATTGCACTCAGTTCTTCAGGTGTGTGTGCGGTTTCTGTGGTTTCCTTCGTGTGTCGTGACTTGTGCGGGCTTTAGAAGAAGGCTTCGCCAATTATTTGGGACGGCTTTGAGAAGGGCTTATGAGCACTGAGCACAGAACTGAATGAGCAGCAGGATCAGCAGGATATACGATAAAGGACACTTTCACTGGGGGTGACTTAGAGATTTCTTGAAGACATAAATGCCTTGGGAATTCCTATTTTCCCTTACTGTCGCCTCGGTGAAACGCTGACAACGGAAGGACATCCTTGGGTTTTCAACCTTGGCAACGCGCTTGCAAAGGTTATCACAGTTATATCTTTTCCTTGTCCTTAAAACCTTATCCAGCTAGCTAGCAAGCATCTTTAAAAAAAACAGAATACCCAAATGGGGCTTGAGCAGCGGCTGCAGTAGCTCTCTAAAGTAAATTGTGTCTATTGCTGGTTACAACTCTAAAAGCTAATCTTATAGGGAGCCATGTATGCTCTCTATGTATCGTTGGTCTGTTCAATGGCCAACAGGATATCAACCATTTTGCTCCCCCCTCGCTCCTTAAGGATGTCCCACGGGGGATACTGTGCTCCTTGGTTTTAAGAGATGAAATAACACGAGAATAGCACGAGACCAACAACAAAACCTCCATCATTCTAGTCGTGCCAGCTTGCATGGGCAATAGACATGTGATAGCTTGTTTTGGCTACATGTCATAAACTATCTTGTACAGTACCCTTCGGGTCATCGCTCTGATGCTGCTAAAAGAAACATAAAAGGGGCTAATTGATACTAGCACTCTATCGCCAAAGTTAACAGCCCCGTCATGGTTCGACGGGTTTTGAGATACCATCTTTAGCTAACGATTGTGGATGCCCATTAACATGTTTTATGTTTCTTTTAGGTCATTAAAATAGAGCTAATCAATCTCTACAAGGTATACTATAACACTCTATGCAAGCTCTCAACAGATGCCGAGCACCAATTGGTTGAACACAGCCACTCCCAGTGGAGGCTTTGTTGTTGTTGTCGTGCTTTTCTCGTGTTGTTTTCGAAGCATGACTGAAACTGGCTCTTACCCCGGGACATCCTTAACGTATCTAACCTCAGCAGTCTATCTGCCTGAGCCCTCTACCCCTTTTTCAGTATTTCCTATTTCCTATTACGTCTCCTGAGACGACGCTCCTTTTGGTTACCCCCTCAGTTGCACACTGGCATCGATTTGCCGGCGTTTACTTTGTAAATTAGAGTAGTGGCACGTCAGTTGCAGAATCAACGGTCATGTGTATCCATAAGTAACAGGTTCTCTTCGATAAAATAGATCAATTCGTGATAAAGGAACCGTTGAAGTTACTAAGGTTAAGGATTTACAAAGAATCGAGGATCGCAATGAGGTAAGCCTATGATCAAAAGCGCCAATTGAAGGTGCAGCGCTGACTTCTCTCCTCATTTGATTCATATGGTAACAGGGAGATCAGCTCGGCGTCAACAGGTGAGTTGTCATTTAATTATTCGATGGGATCGTTGCATCTCTTCTATCAAGCCTCACTCAAGCCGACCTCTCGGTGCAGAAGGAAAAGCATCCCCATTGAATCCTATGGACCATGGGATGGCAGTCAGTTCTCGGCCCATGACGGCCAAGTTGGAATTTGAAAAACAATGGTAAGTCGCCGGTCGTCTGAGTTGAGCACAGAAAACAAAACTCATATCTATTTGTTGTTTTCTCTGCTGTACTGCTGACGGCGAGGAAATCCATTGTCGAACAAATGATCGGTGCGCCGGGAGAACAAGAAAGGAGAGGCTACCCTACTAGGAGGAGCTGTTATCTCCAGCCCTACCAACAGTCTGCAATACACGGCTCTTAGCCTTATTCGCGACTCGATCCTAGATAGGTTTGAGTTCGACTCATGACTGAGTCTCTCGTGAATAGTCATTTGAGACAGGGTTCTCATGACCGCTAGTCATACTAGGTCGATGATGAAACATCGCGCTAGATATTTAGCTGGCGTGGAGAGATTCCACGCTACTAGATAATGCTGACGATTTCACGCGTTCCTTTTTTGGATCGTGGAACGAGTAGGATTCTACCACAACTACTTATCACACTTTAAGTCTCCCGCGGAGTTCAGTCTACGATCCCTTGATTGTGATCTTTCTTCGTTGATTAGTTTTCATGACTTTCTAATCCTCTCATAACTTTCATCTCTCAAAATCAAAACACCGAAGATCTTTACACTAGTTTTACGTAGTGCATTTTGTTAACAAACACATAGCTTTCAGTACCCTCAACCTATTCCTTCACCATGAAGATGCTCAAGGAAGCATGCGTTTCGCAACTGAGAAACATTGCGTGACAAACCCTTTCTTCCTCTCGTCGACAATGACGAAGAAAACGAGATCGACGATACTCGTGCAACCACTTGCAAACTTCGCAACCATGTTGCCAAACGAAATCAGAAGACTCTGACAATGAGGACAACTCCTCTATCAATTCAATCACTTGGATGGAGAAATCTCTATCTGAGGATTAGCCAGGATGATGACTCAACGGAACATGTTCCTGATTTCTCATACCAAAGTTGAAGATATCTCACTAACAGTAAAAGAATTGTTTGCAACTGATGAACACTGCGCAAATTAGATGATTGCCTAGAAGCTGCTCAACTAGACTCTGATGATCTATTAGCATCGTTAACCTCGTCCGTGGCAACCACCTCGTAAACGTCGGAAGACAAGAGACCTCAAAAAATCGTCTATGTTAGATTAACAAACGAGAAAAAGGAAACCACCGTTACACTCCGTTGCTACTGATACAGGAGCTCCGAACCTTGATTGCTCAACCTCTGCTAAAAATTACGATGAAGATCTTGGGGGCGTCAAACGATGTGGACTACCCCTGCAGGAGAATTAAACACCAGCACGAAGTGCAAAGGTGCATTATGATTCCTGAATTCACGAGATAGAATTATCGAGTGGGATTTACACGTCACCAAAAGCTTGGGGCGTATGACATGATCTATAGGTCGAGACATCTCTCTGACTAGGATTCAAGTTCGATTTCCTACCATGTAGTGGAGTGGGACGGCGCTCTATTCTATGAAAGACAGCGACACAAAGAAGAAGAAAACTTTTTCATTCCTGATCCTACCGCTGTTGATGACAGTGCAGATTCTCAAGAAGATTCTTGATGCGAAATACGAACAAGTGACTTAACAGGTTTGCCAAAGTCAAATCAGTTAAACAAGGAAGAGAAGGAACAGCTTCATTCCTTACTGACAAGTACTCTGACCTATTCGATGTACTTTAGGAAAGTGCAGATGGACGACTACGAAGTAGAACTTCTCCCTGATGCTAAACCCTATCATGCCAGGGCTATCCTATTCCACGTGTCCATACCAACACTCTTAAGATGGAGTTGAACGTCTCTGCGAAACAGGAGCACTCAAGAAGGTAACCGTTCCAAGTGGCGGCACCAACTTTATCATTCCAAGAAAGATGATCTGACGATTCATCTCGATTTCCGGGAACTGAACAAAAGGTTAAGCGGAAGCCTTATCCTATCCAAAAAATACAGGAATGCTCTTGAATCTAGATGGATTCAATACGTTACTAGTCTAGACCTGAACATTGGGTACTATCACATCGAGCTGTCCCTCACTCGAAGCAACTCTGTACCATCGTACTCCGTGGGGAAAGTACGAACCAGAGGTTGCCAATGCCTATGTAATAGTCCCGCAATCTTCCAAAGAAGATGGGAACAACATGCACGACCTTGAAAGTCCGTGCATACATTGATATCTACTCATCCTAACTAACGCGATCTGGCAGATCACGTTGAAAAGTTGATGAAGTTCTCCGAAAGCTTCGAGAAGCCGGACTTAAGATCAATGCTACCAAGTCCTTCTTCGCGAAGAGGAGAAATTGATAACTAGGTTACTGGATTATCGAGAAGGGATCCAACCTATAACAACAAAAATAGACGCGATCAGAATACGCTCCTTCCACACAGAAACTCCGTAGATTCATTGGACTAGTGAACTACTATCGAGACATGTGGATTAGACGATCACATTACTGGCCCCACTCGCTTCTTGACTTCAAAAAAACGAAGTGGAAAGGGAAGCGAAAACGACAAGGCCTTTAGCAGATGAAGAAGATCATCAGCAAGAACCTTGCTCCTTACCCTGACTTCAATGTACATTCGTTATCCACACGGATGCGAGTATACTCAACTAGTGCAGTATTTCCCAGAAGGGAAAACCTATCGCGTTTACAGCAGAAAGCTCAACCTGCTCAGAAAGTTACACAGTTACCGAAAAGAACTTCTCAGTATCGTAGAAACTCTAAAAGAGTTCCGTAACATTCTTCTGGGCAGAAGATTTTTGTACATACGGACCACAAAATCTTACATGTAAGAACTTCAATACGATCGCGTAATGCATGGCGCCTTATTCTGGAAGAATACGGCCCTGAACTACGGTACATCAAGGGCGAACAGACATCGTCGCTGATGCGTTGTCGAGACTTACACATCTCAACAACGACGGTTCTTCGAAACAGATGGACGCCAGCAGATCGCTGAACTCATGGCTGCAAGACGAAGAGGACTTCCCTAGCGAGTTCCCTCTCTTGTTCCCCAGATCGAACATCTCAGAAGACGACAACGATTCAAGAATCTCCTCAGGGACAAGCCAAACGACTAAAAAAGCAATCTTTCCCCAGAGGGGATAAGTCCTACGACTTAGTAGTAAGGACGAGAAAATCGTCGTACCTAATATGCAGAAAGCTAGTTGAATGGTACCATGGTGTGCTATGCATCCTGGCGAGACTCGCACAGACTAACCATCAGCCAACACTACACCTGGAAGGATGCGCAAGACTGAGCAGGCCGTATGTCAGCGTTGCCAAAGCTGCCAGATAACAAACCAAGACGCGTAAGTGGGATTGATGCCTCCAAAGACTTGCGAGGGATCCCTTGGAAAGACTTGTATTGACCTGATAGGTCCCTACAACGTCGGGATCCTAAGAAAAAGAATTCCTTACACTTCATTGCTTGACATGATTGATCCCGTACCGGATGGTTCGAGATTGCAGAATCTGCTCCAAGGCAGCAGACGAAGTAGCATCGTCCTAGAACAACGTGGCTTACTCGTATCCATGGCCCTGGGTTATCATGGATAGAGGACGGAGTTCCGCGCAGAGGTCGAGAAGATCTCCGGGATGAACTCATCACCACGCGCAACCCTCAAGCCAACTCCATGGTCGAGCGTGCTCATCAGACCATACGCAACTTGATCGCTGTTCAAAACATCAAGTGCCAAGACGACCTCGTGAACGGATCCTGGGATGGAGTCCTCACGGCGGTTCGCTTCGCAATGAACGCCACGATTCATACCACCTTGCGTGCAACGCCTGCACAGCTCGTGTTCAACCGTGACGCGATTCACAACGTCCGTTTCGAAGCAAACTGGAAGTACATCAAGGAACGTCGCCAACGACTCATCCAACAGAACAACGATAGGGAGAATGCGACGCGTGTCCCTCATCAATACAATGTCAACGATACCGTGATGATTCAGCAGTATCAGCACCGCAAGTACGGTCAGCCAAAGTACAAAGGTCCTTACACTGTAGACAGAGTCAATGACAATGGCACTGTACGGCTCCAACATGCTACCGCCAATGGCGGCACAGTCTACCAGACTTGGAACATAAGGTATATACACCCATACAAGGCCTGATCCCCTTGTAGGATTGCCATCGTGCGACGCACATGTCTACATCCAATCTCATGAGAGTGCCCCGCACTTTAAATCATATGTTCTCCTTGTCCGACTGATGTCGTGCCTTCTGTGACCCTTGTCAGGGGGCGAATGCAATACACGGCTCTTAGCCTTATTCGCGACTCGATCCTAGATAGGGTTTGAGTTCGACTCATGACTGAGTCTTTCGTGAATAGTCATTGAGACAGGGTTCTCTTGACCGCTAGTCATACTAGGTCGATGGTGAAACATCGCGCTAGATATTTAGCTGGCGTGGAGAGATTCCACGCTACTAGATAAATGCTAGACGAATCTTCCACGCGTTCCGTTTTTGGATCGTGGAACGAGTAGGATTACTACCACAACCTACTCCATCACACTTTACAGTCTCCCGCGGGAGTTCAGATCTACGACCCTTTGATTGTGGATCTCTCTCGTTGATTAGTTTTCATAGCTTTCTAATCCTCTCATAACTTTCATTCTCTCAAACTCAAAACACTCGAAAGATCTTTACACTAGCTTTTAGCGTAGTGCAGTCTGAACGGATCGTCGTCCAGTCATTGAATGGCAACAAGAGGAGGCTGCATGACAACACACAAGAAAGTGGATAGTCCTACTGGATTCACCCCTTCAGTATTATTTCCTAGTGTTTGGTTGGTGATTCATGTGTCAGTATCCACTTTCCTGTATACGCAAGTCCTCGAGTGAACGACTTGCTTCTTTCGTACGATAAAGATAGATAGATAACTCGTAAGATAATAGATCATCGATTACCGACCAATAGACCACTCCTTTCATTAGATAGACATCTTATAGATCAATAGGATTTACAATATACGGTTGTGCATGTATTCGTCATAAGGATCCAATGCGAGGTACCTGTACCGGAGTGTAGCGAGCAAAGCCAAACCTGAGTGTGTTCGGTACTGTTGCCACTGTTGCTAATGTAACTATACGGCAGCCGGCTACAATGGCTGGATTGACAATATTCGGTTGTGCATGTATTCGTCATAAGGATCCAACACGAGGTAACTGAGCTGGCACTAAGGAATCAAGAGACAAACGCTGAAAAAAACCAAATTTCCTATATCCTATTTCCTATATCTTATATCCTATTTCCTATTTCCTGTTCCGGTGAAGCCAAAATATAGGGATAGAGATAGGCGTAGGCCAACAAGGTTCTACAAATTTAGGGGTAGGAATAAATCATGATTATTCAAGGTTAGTGCACTCAACACAATAAGCCAACAGAAACAGGTACATACGGGAGTGACAGCTGTAAAATTATGGTTAATGGGCAGCAACACAGGACGAAGTCGGGTGTTGTCGCCAGGGCTAGCTTAAATTAAAAAGAAGGTTATAATGAGGAAATGATACCGGGCGGCAACACACGACGAAGTCGGGTGTTGTCGCCAGGGCTACCTTGAAAGAAGGGTGCAATCTCAAACAGATCCTCTTTCTTCTATTTGTCTTTCTGCGGAGGTATCGCAGCTCCCGCTGACTTATTTTGTGGAGCCAATTGACTATGTAAATTAGTGCAGCCTTCTCAAAAAAAATCGAGCATGAAACATACGTCCACAGCGATAGCGCCATCCGATAGCTCGTCTACAGCTGTACCATGCTTCTCATTAAGTACCTGGTATTTTGGCAACCGACACTCGATTCACGATATTAATACTCGTCGTCCCTGCTACAATGTTTTAGTAATACTTACTTGTAATTAGAGGGGTCATCACAAAGTCATTATTATCAACTGGCAACTGACTTTTTTATTAATGCATCATCGGTGCGAGAGATTGCAATCTCACAAAAGATCTGATAGCTAGCTACATGTAATAGCTACACTACTAGCTGGCTACCGGTAAGTTAGAACAATCAAGTTATATCTTGAAAGATGTTGTTTTCCATTGTCAAACTCGGCGTAGCGACGCTGGCCTTGTTTCCCGATGGTGGTTTCGCCATGACAAGAAAACATGCCCGTGGTGGTACATGTAGAAGGGAGTTGTCCTCCTTCCCCGAAGTGAACCGCAATTATCCCGAGCTGTACGGTCCTGGAGATAACCAAGTCTTTTATGAAGCCGAATCTCTTGACTACTTCAAGAATGAAATTAGTTCATATTGGTTTGAGTGGCTCAATCCACGTGAAATCGAGGCTGGAGGAACTACGTGTGGCTTTCTCTATCCCGACCTTGGAGTACTCCATGGTGTTACCTACCCAACCATTAAGGTTTATGTTTGTGTTAGGTTTGCTAATGTCCAACCCGCTGCTAAAGGGAACATGTTTGTTCATTGCGGCGGGCCTGGGTCATTGTCCTATTGCACAAAGGGTATGATCTATGGAGGATATTTCAGTGAAAAGAACCTTGATGAGTACAACATCTGGTCCATTGATCAGGTAGGTATAATGTTTTCTACGTTACTTCATTGTCTTCGGGAACTAACAGTTTCTTTCCCCCCTTCTTCAATTGTATTAAAAACCATAACAGAGGGGCATGGGCCGTTCTTGGCCGAACTTTGCACACGACGAATGTTCTCTCAAGAAAGTTATTCGCGATTCCACTGGTGCAATCCAAAGCATGGTGAAACGCGATGAAGATAACGCGAGGGTGAACGTTACTGGCTTGGACGATGAAGACCAGATCAAGCTCATTCTGCAGAAGTACAAAAGCAGAGCTAGGGATTGCTGGGGCGTCCCGGAATTCAACATGAAGGCTACCCAATCCGATTACAGTGTCAGGGAATTCCATTTCCTTGAATACTCGGGAACTAGATCATTGGCGCAAGATGTGCATCTTTTAAGGCACCTCATGAATGCTCCCAAATTGCACTTGTACGGAATTTCCTATGGCACTTCCGTCTTTTCTACTTACGCAACGCTATTTCCTTCACACGTTGGACTATTCGTGCTGGATAGCACTGTTGTGAGTTACGTACAGCAGCTTACTGTATGCATGATGAATGCATTCGTTCGTGTACTATGGCATGCATAATGTTCATTAACCTTCTCTTTTCCCACCAAAACAGAGTCCCAATCCCGATCACTATCATGTCGCTTTTACACTATCGGTCGGGCTCAATACCCGAATCAACTACGTGCTATACAGTTGCAGCGCTCACAATGCTCGAAGTCCAGGCTGGTGTCCGGTTGAAGATTTGCGGTGAGTATTACAATGCAGTTAATGTGGCATTTTGGCATCTCTCTTTCACTAACTCGTATACTCGTGCACAGAGAATGCGTCAGCGACATTAATGCTATGACAAGGGATTCTGGAGTCAATGTTGGGGCGTGGGGAGGCGACGGCTTTAGATTTATCCAAATTGCCCTGTATGTATTGTTTCGGTACCCCGATCGCGCCGAAGAAGTTTGTGCTTTGGCAGACGCAGGGTAAGTCAGCTATTGTGATGCATGCAAACCTTACCGGTACCGGTATTGGAAAGTAATGAATACGCGCCTATATAATCATTTCTGTGAATACTTCTTTATTTATTCCTCATTATCTTTCTGAAGGGACCGGCAGGGTTTTGCTGAAATTTTGGATGAGCTGTATTACTTTTCGAGGCCTACAGATACAGAAGAAAGGACTGAAACAGAAGCTCCAGTTGCGACTTCCAAGCAGGGAGTATACGATCCTAGGTACTCGCAACCCACAGACACTTACAGCGACGTATACGGCAACCCAGACTACCTCATTCTCGTTGGGCCTGGCATCCAGATTCCTGTCGTTTTGGTCCGTGGCCAAGATCGAGCAGGTGCCGTCTACGACGAAGGTGCGTATATCGACCGTTTGTTAATCCTTGCAGCTACTGATCACCTCTTGCCATAACATCTTCCTTCTTCGTTGCCATTCTAACAGATTTCTTTGCCAAGGAAGTACTGGCATTTGGTAAAAAGTACACTGGTGCTGGAACTGGACGTCCCGCTAGGGCATTTTTCGCTGAGTACACCGTCGGATTCTACTGGCCCAAATCTGCCCCAATCCCGCCCGCGGGTAATCCCTTTCTCAGGGGAATTGTTGTCGGTCTGCTTTACGATTCCAATACCCCTTACGTCTGGGCCCAGGAAATGAGAGCGGCGTTCCCTTATACCTCCATGTGTGAGTAAGCTAGCTTGCAGAAGTTGTTTCATCGTAAGTTGGTCACTCACACTTGTCATGCTTGCATATTTATATTTTAAAAATTGCAGTGACCTCACAGGCGACCAACCACGGACTGGGCGGAGACGACCGAGAATGCCAGAGCCACGTTACGGACTATTTGGATTCAGGATACATCAACTTTGTTGATGGCTTGGTTTGCGGTGATGACTTTGCTTCAGGTGACGACTTTATGAACATTTTCTTCCCACAAACCCCGGCGCCTTCACCGCGTACATCAACTCCTCCCACCGAAAGCAGCGCAACCACCATACCCAACACAAACGAACCAACGATTCAGCCAACGGAATCCGCGGCTCCCGGAGAATTCAAGACAAGTGTTCCCACAAGCTATTCTGTTAGTGCGGATGGAGAGGAATCCGCAGCTCCCGGAGAATCCAAGACAAGTGTTCCCACAAGCTATTCTGTTAGTGCGGATGGAGAGGAATCCGCGGCTCCCGGAGAATCCAAGACAAGTGTTCCCACAAGCTATTCTGTTAGTGCGGATGGAGAGGAATCCACGGCTCCCGGAGAATCCAAGACAAGTGTTCCCACATCCGCGGCAACACTTGTGCCAGGCAACGGAAACAGCAATATTTTTTTCCATGGTGATGGCCTCGTTACCGACAATGGTGACCAAAATAAACCCGCTTGCAATAATCAAACTGCAAACGCAACAACCCCAACGAACACAGCCTTCACGAGTGCCCCAACTCCAAGCACCATTGCGCCGACAAATGGTGCAACTACAGCCGATGCAACTATGATCAAATCTGGTTGCACCTTTCGACACCACTCATGTTACCACTGGCTATTCCATCTTGGTGTGACACTTGTTCCTTTGATATTCTTTTTCCAATAGTTCTTCACCTGCCTTGGAATTCATGCACATTAGGATGGAGCGGATGTTGACCGAGAGCTGGCAAGCTTCTTTAGTCATACACAGCAACGAGTAGGGACAGTAGGGAGTAGAACTATAGTAGAACGTCACCGTAAACAAGGAGTTTTCAAATGGAGCGCCAGAGGGACTACTAGAACAGCAAAAGCACACGGCAACTGCAGGGATGATAAATAAAAAGCAACAGCAAAATCGAGAGTGCTTGTCTAGACTTGCTTTCGCAAGTATGAATGAAACAGTGAAGACACAGAATCATTCTATATAGGGACTCAGGTTGCGGCCTGCAAAGGCAACACATCAATTTCTACTCATCCAGCTGCTTGCCATAAACAGATTGGCATCGGCCCATTGCCCAGATCGGGAAGACGTTGCGGTAGGCTGTGTAGGTGATTCCACATGATCGATTGAACACACCAGCAATGCCTTCCTGGGGCCAGTCTCCACAAGGGAGCTGACGTTTCATCAAGTACTGTACGCCGTGCTTGATGGCCTCTGTATCCTTGCACTCGGCACAAGCCAAGGCAAGCAACGCCCACGATGTGTTGACCACGCTGCTCCCTTCATCACCGTACGCGTCCATACCATTCTGGGCATAGTCCTTGTCGAAGCAAGAAGTAAAATCCTCCCCCCAGCCTCCATTTGGGCGCTGCTGCTTCAAAAGGAATTTACAAGCCTTTTGTAGAGGAACTGAATCGAGGGGCTCTCCACTCTTGACCAACCCCTCAATGCCAAACCAGGTGCCTGAACAAACAATCATAGAGTGAGATTAGGTGTCAGCGGAGAAGATAAACACACAGAAAGCAAGAAGTCGTGTCGCTTACCGTAGCAAAAGCAACAGGCCCAGGAACCATACCAAGAGCCGTCCTGACCAACAAAATCAAATCGAGGTGACGAGTCAAAAAACTGATTAATACGAACTGGGGCGCATGGACACAACGTACACGAGGATCAGCGACTTACCTCTCGTTGAATACTCTTGAGGAAGTTTCTTCCGGTATCCAAGGAATGCTGGACTTCTCTGCAGCGTGTCTTGGGGAATCGTTGCTGGAACTCGTAAAGAGCCGTCAAGCAAGCCATGCTGCATTCAACGTACGAGTAGTCAATCATAATGTCTCCAAAAGCTTCTGACGGGTTCAAGGATTCATACCAGCCAAAGCCACGATTGTTCTCGTAGGTTGGCCAACCTGATTGAGACAAGAAGATGTACAAGAAGACGTGAGTGAGACTTGCTACAATAGCCACGCACACCACAGCAAATTGATTCACGCACCACCATCTTCATTTTGGTAAGTGATAATGACACTGATTGCCTTTTCGAGCCTCTCATCACTAATGGGCTTGAGGTTGTTCTTGTTGACTCCCTCTTGCACCGTCTTGGACTTGAGCAAGCACAATACGCCTTTGAGTCCTTCGGCAGTGCAATCACTGATGGGCCAACCGTGAGCACTGGTACTGAATGGCCAACCCCCTTCTGAGAGGTGACGGTAGTATTGCTTCCTGAGTTCGGCACTTTCGTACTTATAGGCAGGGGAGGCTCTGCGATAATTGAAATGGTACCAGTTCGAGGCATAACCAACCATCAAGTGGGTTTGTGAGACTTCACAAGTGGGAACGACTAAAAACACATAACAGCACTTTGACACAAACTTACTGGGCCGCGTCGGAACACAAGATTTGGCATTTTTCAAAATAGGACCACACTTTTTTGGACACCTCAGGGAATTCATCCATCAAGTCCGATTCGTAGTATCCCTGAATGGCAAAGGAAGTATCCCAGCACTGACTTCCATTGTATCCTTGCATTTTCATGCCATCATCCGCAACCCACAGATAATCTTGCACCCGAAGCATGTGATTCATGACATGTTTATTTTGGAGATCGCTGCCAGCAACTGTCCACAAAGAAGATGAATGAGATGTGAGAATGTGCCAAGCGTTCAAAAAGAAGTAGTGTGATTTTGATTATTGTTTCTTTTACTCACCATCAAATGCCGACAACATGTTGAGAACTTTATTGACAGGTCCAATATCGATATAGTTGGTTTGAAGGTCTTCGACGGCCATGTAATCGGCACAAAAGTCATTGGCATATTTTCGTACAAAGTTCTTGAAGGGCTGAAAGACGGCCCAGTTTTCGTAACACGCTAAGACGTTCTGAATGAATTTCATCAGGGGTGGAATGGGAGAATAATTGTCCATCGGTGCGACCCAATGACGCGTGGACGACCAGGGAATACTGTCGTAGTCCTTTTCGACGTATAATTCCTTGCGCAAACTGGAAATGACGGGATCGGTTTTGGCTTGGGTGTAAACGTAGCGACGGGAGTATAGATAGGACATGGGCAAGTACACCATGCGGGCATGACACCACATGCGTCCGGGATGAAAGGGTGTAAAGTTGGGGAGCAACCACATTTCGGGTGGGACACTGTTGTGTGCCTTCCAGTCCATGACACCCAAAAGACAAAGGTAGAATTTGGCCCAAGACGACGTCATGATGGCACCTCCTTGTGCATGGAGAAACTTTCGTCCAGCGACGGCGGCCGAATCATCCTCGGGGACTCCCAACAATCGCATGGCGACGTACATGAGTGTGGTTCCAAACATGGTGGATGGCGATTCAATGTGTGTGCCCCATCCGCCATCCGATTGTTGATGTACGAGAATGTAATGTTTCATGAGTTGTTGTGCTTGTTCATCCATCATGAGTGTTGGTTTCCCCATAATGTACCAAACGACAATCAATCCCGGCATGAGGAAATGAGGTCCACCATAGTCACCACCCCAATGTCCGTCGTCCATTTGAAGCATGGAATAGAAATGGGCCGCCTTGCGGAGGGCTTCCTTCACAGATTTTGGTTTTTCTGTGCTATTGTCGGGAGGTTTATTTCCGGGTTTGGCCAAATAAGCTCGAATTTGGTTGGCACGAAAGAGCTGGTCGCAGCTGAGGAGAAAACGGGGAAAAGGGCAAAGTGAGATTCTTTGGCCTGATCAAACAGTATATGGGTTGTGTTTTGATTTCTTACCTGTTTGGATTTTTGGACGGATTGAATGTTCCAGGTTTGTCGGTTCTTCCTCCAGCAGCCAATTCTTTGATCAATTCTTCCTGCTTGTCATTTTTGGTAGTAGTGGTGGTGTCATTTTTGGGTTGATTGGTCCACATTTGTCGACCCGATGGTTCTCCCGTGAGTTTGCCTGTGGTTCCCTCAAATCTCTTTTTGGAGACCTCGTGAGATTCTTCCGCCGCGACACATCTCCAATTTTGTGTGGCAAATGTGGGCAATTCGGTGGTAGAGTCGGTCCACTTGGGAATGCGTTGGATCTTGTGGTCGCGGGCTCCACCAGGATAGGACACAGCTGGCAACAAGTAATGAACGACGTACTGAAAAAAAGAGTACAAAAATAGGCTGACCGCACCAGTCTGTAGCACACTCAGTGGAATGGGAAACTCAGAGGACAGACACTCCTGATTATTGTCCAATAAAGGAGTGATGGAGAGAAGGGATGCCCAGAGGACCAGCCATCCGACCAAATGAAAACGAACGCGCAACGGAGCAGCAAAGGCACCTTGGACAGGATCGTAGCCCCAAACTCCCACACCACTCTGATAATAGTCCAAAAGGAACGACCACAAACCATTGCCCAGAGGCCTCTTGCCCAATTCGGTCAGCGGAGTTCCCTGAAATGAAAACCCCGAAAAGCAAGATGTCACCAAAATGGCAAACGCCAGGCCACCAATCAATCGAACAATCTCATCCCCAGAGTAGCAAACCACTTCTGACAACATGATTTTAGAAAGATCAAGTCAATACGTAGATAGAATAGAGACGACACCACCAAAAGTAGAGCAAAGTGAACGGTAAAAGAGACCACGAAAGTCAAAGGCTTCGGCTTCACTATTAACTTCGATTTGTGGCGCTGGCCTTCGAGATCTTTGCATCCGTCCTTCTTTCCTCAGTCCCGCGATTTGGTAGGATCGCACAAGCCCGGCTGGGCGAAGCCGCACAAGGCGGTTCGAGTGCCGGTAACAATGGTGATGATCCAATGTTAAGAAATTAACTCTCTTTTTTTGGCTAGCTAGCTAGACTAGTGCCACCTAGCTCTAGGAATGAGGGGGTTTACAGAGTAGGAGAGTTAGCTACGGATGCCAGCAAGGCTTGGACAAAGAAGAGGGGGAAATTTGCGACTAGGTACCCCGGGATCAGGGGCAACAACTTGAGAGCCAACATGGGGATGCTATCCGGAGGACGATCCAAAGCGCATTACTGCTGGCTAGACGCATAAACTAGACTAAGCAAGTTCGACTGGACCAGTCTGCATGAAAAATGTTGTCGCAAATGGTAAGGGTTGTCTAGGAAGTAGCCTTCTTTCAACCGTAACCGAGGTCCAAGCAGCACGGCAGACATATCGTGGTACCAGGTACGGGTAGTAGGGGAGCAAGTCGGGGTCAGAGGAGGAGGGAAGCCGGGGTCAAAGCAGCCACGAGGCAAGTCGGGGTCCAAGCACGAAGCTCGGAGAGCAAGAAAGATTAGATGAGCTGCTACTAGCTAGCCTGGGTCGCGGTTACCGTTGCACCATGCAATGGGATGTATGAACGAGTGCATAGCCTTCGTGGTTGTCGCTACCGGTGCAGCATGGGATGCATGAGCGAGAGGCCTTCGTGGCTGGATGAGGAGGTGACCTTGCAACTGATGATACCTGGAGAGCTAGCTAGCCAGAGAGCGGGGCCAACAATCCCACAGACGCACATCCCATGTGCTATAGCTCGCGACCGGTATGCATAGCTCTCACAGCCTCACGCAAAGTGACCGGAGATCGAGGTGGCGGTCGCAAGAGTTGGAAGCTTCCATGGCTGGACCTACGAGTACTACCCAAAGATACATAAAACCATCCGCAATCAGCATTCCACAATCAATAGTACAACTATGTTGTGTCAACCCGGCCTGGCTTACAGGGAGACAAGGGTCAATCTTAGAAGACGCACAGCGCAACAGCTGCGGTCGCCCTTTGACTTCGAGTCAACGAGCAAGCAACTCCTGCGGGGCATCTGTGGGTCGAGTTTACGTTATCAGAGTATACGTCATGTACGAGGCCTCCAACCTACTATACAAAAACTACTAGTACCTCCTTGTTGTCCCTGGTCCAATAAACAGATTGCTTGGTGGATTCGATTCAGGGATGACAAGCGATGAATGGACGAGCGATTCAATGGTTTCATCGTCGTCGGACATGGATGACATCACCGTTGTTGCAAAAACTGAGGGTGTCGAGTCGAGTCTGTAAAATCTGCGGTTCTACCCTTCGTAACAGTGTTTCGGAACGACTATGAGCATGCACGGTTTCCCGCCGCTCGGAACAATGGTCATATTCGACTTTCTTCTTGTGACATCCGTCCTTCTTGGTCAAGATGTGGCAAAATATGAGTCGAGTCCCTTCACTGAACGCGTTGACAGCATCAACTGTTTTGTTCGGCTTGGATAACACGACGCCTACTTCAAGCAACGCCGAGCTGATGGGTTGTCTCTCCACGCTGCCGACTCAATTTGCGAGCTGGCATGATTTCTCCGGAGTATTAGGCATTACGAAGCTTGTTTCCTGCAGGGTGCTCCCTTGGTCCACAAGCGTGCGTGACAGGTCATGGGTGCCTCTATGACGAGGAATGCGCATCGACGAGTGATTGCTGGTGGGGCGGTCGCTGTCCAGCCACGACCCCCATTGCGTCGTTTCTCTTCGATGACCCACCGTCATCTGGAAACCGCGCCACGATCTCTGGCCCAGATTCGCATTTTATCTAGGGCTAGCATATGGCACCTGTTGCAACACAAACAAACACCTAGTGGGTAGGGGTAGCCCAGAAAGCCAGAAGAAATAGTAATTCAAGATTAGTTGTACACATCAAATGGGACGAGAATCGAACTTGGCAGCTGCTTTGAATGCTGTCGCATTGCATTCTTCGACCTCCTTAACCTTCTTCTGCCAGCAAACGGTTGTGGGCCACGTTGACAGCAGTTCTGCCATCTTACCAAGAGTTCGCTCACTGCGCGCACCACTGACTCAGGATCTGCTGTAACATTGAATCGACGAGCCTCGTCTCGACGACGCAAGTTTCGCATGTAGAACTGTGTTTCCGCTGCTTTGTTGTCCCCAGTGTACAAACTATAATAGTAGTGGCCTGTGGATCTTGTCAATGTGCCAAAGAAGTGGGGAACATGGTATCCTTTGGGGAATAGCTCTAAAACACCCCCACAGGTGGGTAGAAGTCCTGCACTGGTGAGTTGGGCTCCATGTGGTCCAATTAAAATATCAATTTGGGACATGAAAGTGACTTGCTCCTGGAAGGATAAGCCATCAAATGACTCCAAATAGTGAATCTTGGGCGAATGATCAGTGCCAAAATCATGCTGCTCCAGAGCTGAAATAACTGCCTGAGAGTTGTTGCAATGACGCCCTCCATTGGGCTGGCGGTTGAGAAAACCAATTACAGGTGCAACATTGCTGGCTTTGTTCAAAGGACACCCTGCCCTTGAGTCTGAACTGATATTGTAATAGTCCCACATGCCTTCTCTCAATATTGTAGCATCATGGGGGTCATGCATTTCATAAGCTGGGGAATGGACGTCAGGTGTACCAGGGGCTTCACCATAGACAGAAATGTTTTGATGAGCTGCCTTGCGGTCCAAGGTGACATTGAACTGTGCCTGCAAGATTGTAAGATAGTCCTTGATGAAATCTGAAGGTGGAAAATTCCAAATGATCAAGACATGATTCTTGGCAACATTAAGTTCTGCTTGCCACCAAGAGAAACACCTGATGAGTTGTTGCATGGCATGAGGAAAATGTGTCCATACTCCTTTTTGTTGAAAGTTGCAAACTGCATCAGGCTCCTCTTCAAATGGAAACCTATCAGGAGCTTCAACTGCCTTGAACAGCTTTTCCAATGGTGTTCTTCTCTCATACAACCCCTCTTCAACATTCAACGTACTGTTGGCCAAAGCCGTTGTACTTGCTGGTGCTACGGTGGGGGGTATCGTGGAAGCAGTTGCCAGATCTGTGGGAGCAGGTGTGAGTTCGTTGGGATCCTGCTTGAATTCTCCAACACCATGAGAATCACCATCCTTTTGAACAGTTGCCATGACTTGTTCATTATCTGAAGATTCCCATCCAAGCTCGCAACATGCCTGAAATCTTGAAGTAAGTTTCACAACTGCTTGCACCACTGCTTGGGGATCTGCGTTGATGTCGAATGCCCTGGCTTGTTTCTGATTGTTCCGTGTTATCATGAATGATGCAGTCTCTTGAGTTTGATTGTCACCAGTGTAGAGACTGTAATAGTAATGGCCTGTTGACCTTGCCAATGAACCGAAAAAGTTTGGAGCATAAAAGCCTTTCGGAAATAGTTCCAGCATTCCACCACAGGTGGGCAGAAATGCAGCACTGACAAGTTGGGCTCCATGTGGCCCAATCAGGATATCAACTTGGGCCATGTTGGCAACTTGTTCCTGGAAAGACATGGTGTCAAATGACTCCGAATAGTGGATCTTGAGTGGCTCAGTTGTGTCAAAATCATGCTGTTCCAGAGCGGCAAAAATGGCCTTGGAATTGTTGCAATGACGTCCTCCACTAGGCTGGCGGTTGAAAAAGCCAATGACAGGTGTGGCAACACCGGAAGGCTCGACAGGCACGGCAAGGCTCGACAGGGCACCCTGCCCTTGAGTTTGCAGGGATATTGTAGTGTTCCCAGATTCCTTCTCTTAGGATAGTTGCATCTTGTGGGTTATGCATTTCATATGGTTTTGCGTCTGCCAAGCCAAATATTTCTCCATGGACTGAAATGTTCTGTTGGTTGGTCTGGTTTGTAACAGCAACGTGAAACTGCTCTTTGAGAATCCCCAAGAAATCATTGATGAATGTTGATTGAGGATCCTTCGGGACGATCAACACCTTTTGTTTGGGTTCATTGATGCCAGCTTGCCACCAAGAGAAGCATTTGAAGAGTTGTTGCATGACATGTGGAAAACTCGAGATAGGCCACGGTCCCATATTTCGAATTTCACAGACTGCATTGGGCTCTTCTCCAAAAGGAAAGGAATCTGGCGAATCCTTGTGCGGAGAACCTGGTCCCTTCAATAGCTTGTAAAGAGGAGTCACTCTTGTGTACAGACCTTCTTGTAAGTATGGATACGTTTTGTTTTCATCATAATCTCTTTGCTTGTTCTTTCCTTTTTGTTCCTTGTAAGACGAAAACTTGGTATCTGTAGTGGTATTTAGCAAGCGTTGCCTTTCAGCTTCAGTTAAACTCACAGATCGATGGGAGCTGCTTCCTGCCATTTCAAGGAAGGATATCTCCAGCTTTGATACACGGAGATACACAGCCACCGATGATACAAGTGTAACCAGAACTAGCACTACGAGTCGCTTTCGAAAGCGATGGAAGCAACGTTGAAGGACAGCAAGGTCCGATTCGCCTTGGCCTTGAGGATCTTCCGCTTCGTAGGCCACTTGGTCAAGCGCAGCAAATTTTTCTGGACGAGGCATCATCTTTGGTATTTGTTACTCTGTTGACCACGGAAGGGAGTATTTGCGCTTTTGTGATTATTTTTCTGAAGGTCAACGAAGACATGCATGCATGCAGTTGAGCAGACAATTTTGATGATCAGTCCGAGTGACTCAGACGAGTCTTGACAGCAGTTGAGTCCGAAATGTGATGGGCGTGCGTGGGGGAGTCGAGCAGGCAGTCCGCAATCCACAAGCTGTCAGGATGCAACAATGATCGGCACAGCTAGTACTTTTGCATGTACGAAAACGAGGGAAAGGTAGAACCGGGCGTTGCCTTGGATGTTCCGAACCTTCACGGTAACGATGGAGGGCATGCAGCGAGACCTCATCAAGGCAGTTTTTGCTTTGCTTCCGTTTACGGAATGAAATCAATGGCGACCTTCTATTTCTTCGTCCAAACGAGTCGCCTACTACGACCATCACGCGTTTGAATAAAGTTTTCGTCAAGCGTCCACGGCAAATCCCATTTAGTTTGACAAGGAGGTTTTGCCGTACCGGTACGGTACGCCACACCGGGGTGTTATCACACTGTCGCGCAGTACTGGGACATGGACTGCACTACTGCACTTACCCTTCAGCCGTTGACGCAAGTCCAAAAGAAGCTACTGGGAGTCCGTGCCGAGTCCAAACGAGTGAATCAGTCAACCCTGGTCCTCGCAGCGTCTATCCCCAGATATCTCAAACGATATCGAACAGAGCAATTCGAGGAAAATACGGAAATCCGTGCCGTGATTTTCGCCCGCTATTGCAGACCATGCGTAAACGCCATGGGCCACAAGCTATTATTGGTTTCTCAGCCAGTTGAGGCAGGTGGCTGTGCTTCTTGTACATAACAGTAAGGATGGAAGGGAGGCCTTGAAGCATGGAAGTAAGGCGCACACCCTTGTCGTGATCTTGAAAAGACAGTTAGTTACATTAAAATTAAGAGTCAAGCCGACGAGCCGAACGGCGTAGATCTTCGTTGCTTATAGCTTCATTTAATACGCGCGAAGCTAGGTGAACGCTTCTGCCGAAAGAGCGGCAGCTGGGTAGGCACGACAGTATGCATTGCATGCAATGCCTCGCTGCCGCAAGTCCGTCAACCCATGCTGCTCAGGGCAGATACAGAGAAATCTAGAATAGATTGGTTGAGTAAAATATAGAATACATTGGTTGAGTTCACAGCATGCCGTCTGTTTGATATCGGTGGTGCTCGTTTTCATGGAAAATATATAGCGGACGGAAGCCAAATCAAATCACGTTGCACCGTTCTGAGCAAAACTGGTAGAGGGATAATTCATTTAAAAGGAAACTAGTTTATCCATACTGCTGTTATTGTGAAATGGGTGCGGCCCGCTCAGACAGCAGTTCTGCCATCTTGCCAGGAGTTTGCTTACTGCTTGCACAACTGACTCAGGATCTGCTGTAACATTGAAGCCACGAGCCTTGTTCCGACCATCCAAGAATCGCATGTACCGACTCATTTCCTCTGATCTGTTGGCCCCAGTATACAAACTGTAGTAATAGTGACCTGTGGACCTTGTCAATGTGCCAAAGAAGTTGGGAACATAATATCCTTTGGGGAATAGCTCTAAAACACCCCCACAGCTGGGAAGAAATGCAGCGCTGGTGAATTGGGCTCCATGTGGTCCAATCAGGATGTCGATTTGGGCCATGAAAGTGACTTGCTCCTTGAAGGACAAGCCATCAAATGACTCCAGATAGTGAATCTTGGGTGAATGATCAGTGCCAAAATCATGCTGCTCCAGAGCTGAAATAACTGCCTGAGAGTTGTTGCAATGACGCCCTCCATTGGGCTGGCGGTTGAGAAAACCAATTACAGGTGCAACATTGCTGGCTTTGTTCAAAGGACACCCTGCCCTTGAGTCTGAACTGATATTGTAATAGTCCCACATGCCTTCTCTCAATATTGTAGCATCATGGGGGTCATGCATTTCATAAGCTGGGAAATCAGGGGCGTCACCGTAGACAGAAATGTTTTGATGAGCTGCCTTGCGATCCAATGTGATGTTGAACTGCGCCTGCAACATCTGAAGATAGTCCTTGATGAAATCTGAAGGTGGAAAATTCCAAATGATCAAGACATGATTCTTGGCAACATTTAATCCTGCTTGCCACCACGAGAAGCACCTGAGGAGTTGTTGCATGGCATGAGGAAAATGTGTCCAAAACCCCTTTTGCTGAAAGTTGCAGACTGCATCAGGCTCCTCTTCAAATGGAAACCTATCAGGAGCTTCAACTGCCTTGAACAGCTTTTCCAATGGGGTTCTTCTCTTGTACAACCCCTCTTCAACATTCAATGCCCTGTTTTCGGCAATCTCTGCAGCTACATTTGTTGGCGATTTTCTGGGGGGCATCTTTGGAGAATGTGTCAGCTCCTTGGGAGCCTGCTTCAATTCTCCACCATCAGAAGGATTACCACCTACTTGGACACTTGTCAAAGTTTGTCCACCGAATGGTTGAAGCCTACAGCATGCCTGCCATCTTGCAGTGAGCTTTGAAACTGCTTGCGCCGCAGCTAAGGGATCTGCGTTGATGTCGAATGCCCTGGCTTGTTTCTGATTGTCTGGTGTCATCATGTATGATGTAATCTCCGGGGTTTGGTTGTTGCCAGTGTAGAGGCTGTAATAGTAATGGCCTGTTGACCTTGCTAATGAGCCAAAAATGATTGGAGCATAAAAGCCTTTCGGAAATAGTTCCAGCATTCCACCACAGGTGGGCAGAAATGCAGCACTGACAAGTTGGGCTCCATGTGGCCCAATCAGGATATCAACTTGGGCCATGTTGGCAACTTGTTCCTGGAAAGACATGGTGTCAAATGACTCCAAATAGTGGATCTTGAGTGGCTCAGTTGTGCCAAAATCATGCTGTTCCAGAGCGGCAAAAATGGCCTTGGAATTGTTGCAATGACGTCCTCCACTAGGCTGGCGGTTGAAAAAGCCAATGACAGGTGTGGCAACACCGGAAGGCTCGACAGGGCACCCTGCCCTTGAGTTTGCAGGGATATTGTAGTGTTCCCAGATTCCTTCTCTTAGGATAGTTGCATCTTGTGGGTTATGCATTTCATATGGTTTTGCGTCTGCCAAGCCAAATATTTCTCCATGGACTGAAATGTTCTGTTGGTTGGTCTGGTTTGTAACAGCAACGTGAAACTGCTCTTTGAGAATCCCCAAGAAATCATTGATGAATGTAGATTGAGGATCCTTCGGGACGATCAACACCTTTTGTTTGGGTTCATTGATGCCAGCTTGCCACCAAGAGAAGCATTTGAAGAGTTGTTGCATGACATGTGGAAAACTCGAGATAGGCCAAGATCCCAGATTGTGAATTTCACAGACTGCAATGGGCTCTTCTCCAAATGGGAAGAAATCTGGGGCATCCTTGTGCGGAGAACCTGGTCCCTTCAATAGCTTGTAAAGAGGAGTCACTCTTGTGTACAGACCTTCTTGTAAGTATGGATACGTTTTGTTTTCATCATATTCTGTTTGCTTGTTCTTTCCTTTTTGTTCCTTGTAAGACGAAAACTTGGTATCTGTAGTGGTATTTAGCAAGCGTTGCCTTTCAGCTTCAGCTAAACTCACAGATCGATGGGATCTGTCTCCTGTCGCAATACTTTTATACTCGGATCCACTGGTCATTTCAAGGAAAGAGATCTCCGTCTTTGCGACCTGAAGATACATGGCCACTGATGAGACCAGTGCAACCGACACCAATACCAACAGTCTCTTCCGAGACCGCTGGAAGCAGGTGACTTGATTCACAACATGACTGTCCACTAAGCGAGTTGCCATCGTTGGTGCTTGTGCTGTTTGGTTTAGTGGCAGCAGCAGGGCTCGAGCTGCATTCATGGGACGGCATACAATAAGCCAACGTCACAATTAACCTGGGGTCAGTTGGGCGGTCAATTTTTGGCCAGTCTGTTCAGTTCTTATGAATGGGGGGTGTCTACTCCTAGTAAAAGGAGGATTGCGACGTTCGGTGCGGTCACGGTTGCTCTTGTATTTCGAGCCTGACCCTGGATACAAGCAATAATACTTGTTTTGCACACAGCTTTCAAGTTTCAGAGACGCCTCACTCAGATTGCTACTGTCGTACGTGTACTATCTAGCAACCAAAAAAAGAGCTCTCTACGTGTGTACAGTACCACAGCGGCAACATCCAGCAGGAAGAAAGTGTTTTGAGTATACTGTAGCTACTTGTATTCCCACAAGCGGACCAAGTAAGGCTAAACGCCCAGAACGAGTGGAATTTTGGGACCACAGAAACACCGTGGCTTTCCTCCTTTGATTGACACAAATGAACTCTCGATTGTAGCTTTGACTAGCTAGTCTACCGCATCTCTGAGCTCTTTACGAGCCTTTCGACGGCAAAGCTGTCGCCCCACAAGAACCGAGAGGCGTGCATATTGAGATATCACCAGGATGTGGGGTCGCACCAGCAGCTGGGCTTGACGTTTGTCGTCATAAATGGATAGATAGAGGTAAACTAAAGTCCAATAAAACAACAACAATGCATAAATTCGACAACACGTTTCTTTACAAGTAAACTACAATAAATACGACGGTTAATGTACAACCAGCAAACTCATTTTTCCAACACACCGACACCATGCATCAAAACCTCAATGCACTCTCCCAGGGGATTCTCACTCTCTAGAGGCTGTTGCCAAATAAATGCAGCTGCCTCACTCAGTTTGCATTGGATCCACAGTCACAGTTTTACTCCCTTCAACCAACAATACACAGAATCCAATCACACGCAGCACATCATTCTCCCATTGAAACTCCCTTCCACCAATTGAGTGCTGAAGGCGACCTCTTTTACTGGTTGATGGTGAGGTGCAGAATAACAATCAATATAGCCACCACAATGGCCAAGGAGAAGGAAATCACGGCCACATAGAGGCTGATTGTGGCTGCATCGCAGGATTGCTTATTGGCGGATGCACTTTTGTCTTTTGGAGGGGGATCCTTGGCGTTTCCTTCTTCGACGTCCTTATTATCATCTGTTTCCGTATCGGCCAATGGGGCGCACTCGACTTTGCCAAGCGAAGAATTGTCGTCCTTTTCTCCACCTTGTTCCGCCTCGTTGTCGTTTGCCTCTTGTTCCTCGTCAGCAGCATCCACTTTGGATTCCTCACTTGGATTCTCGAGATCTTGAATCTCCTCCGTACTGGCTGGGCTGATACTCGAGTACTCTACATTTGCCTTGTTGGGATCAGAGTTGTCCAGTTTTTCGCCACGTTGAGCTTCTTCGTCTTCTTCCTCTTCTTGTCCCTCTTCTTCCTCTTGTCCCATTTCAGCATCAGCATCAGCTTTCTCCAGACTCTTTTCCTCCTCGTCATCTTCTCCATGCCCGCCTGTAGAGTCTTCCTCGTTCCCACCGCCTTCTGTGACTTGAGTGGATGCTTCCGCTTGTTCCTCTGGCGTGTCGTCTCCATCGTCATCCTCGTCCTCTGATCTCCTGGCATGATCCACCACAGGTTCTTCCTGCTCAAGCTCCTCTCGTTGGACTACCTCTTCGGGTGAAGGCGCCGTGTTGGTGGAAGACCCTCTTCTCTTGCTTTCTCGAAGCGCCTTCTTCTTGGCTCGAAGCTTGGCCATGCGTCCCGCACTCGCATCTAGCCCAGACTCGTACACTTTCTCACTGTCGCCGCCTCCGTACGAACCGCGAAACTCGGAGACTTTGGGGATCACCGCGCTCATCTTTATAGGTACCGGTATTACTAGCTAGCTAGCTAGTAGATGGTTTGAATTAATGAATGATCAATCGACTCCAATCGGATTGTCTAGTAGCTGTCAATTTGCGAGGCTTCTTGTAATAAGAACATGTGCCGTACCGCTAGCTTGTGACAACTCCCAGCTCGAATTCTCAAATTGAGGCACAAGCCAGTCTTGTGTCACTTTTTTCGCATGGTACATACCCATACAAGCTAGCTAGAATGCCATTACATCCATTCAGTCTCAAGAACATAGCTGGAAATGACGTCACCAACTCGGCCACTCGGCTCCCCAGCGGCCAGCCACAGCGGCACACCCTTTTTGGTCTGTGCACCCACCCATTTGCACAAATCATGCTGTGTGCAGCTCTGTGTACATTTAAGCCTACTGGAGCTCTACTGATATTCTCCCTGTAAGTCCAATTCTCCCTGTTGGGCCATCGGTAGCAGGGGCACAACAACGAAGTGTTCGGATGCATGGCGGCATGCATGGCTGCGGTCTAGCTAGCTAATAGCCAATTTGCCAATCTGATTGTTGATCATGTCTTCTGATAGTATTGCTACTGGTATCAGCACCAGTTCTGGTGGTAGTACCGGCAGTGCTGCTGCTGCTACCAATACCAGCTCACCCAACAATGCAAAACTGAAGATGTCTCCTCCCTTCGATTCTCTTCTTTTCGCTGATGATTTGATTTTGGTCCAAGGCATTCTACCTTATGTTGGCGTTGGACAGTACGCGTTTGTAGGAGCTGTCAACAAAAAGATGAATCAACTATACAAAGAGTACTGCACGCTTGAACTCAAGAAAAATCCAAGAAAGGTTAAGACTAACCCTGGAGGGTTCCGGTCTGCTCACAGTCGCTCTTCGGGAAGCACCGGCACTTTTTGCAGCGAAACATTCTGTAACCAGCCACGTGCAGAATACTGGCTCAAGGACAATTCCAGAAATAAGACACCTCATCGTGATCATGTTTGCACTGCCATTGCCAAAATTGGAAATCTATGCTGTCATGAAATGGGCACGACAAAAAGGATTCCTCATGGGAATCAATGTGACGTGTGCTAGTGCTGCACAATGGACACTTGGAAATTGCTCCAATGTTTAGAGAAAATGGTTGTCCATGGATGGAACGACAGTCAAAGAAGGCATACTGCGCTGAAAAGATGGACATAAGATTGGAAATTTTAACAAGCTGGGCCATACGTAGAGAATGGGGTATTGTCGGTGGAGAATCAAAAGGAGAACATTGGTGGTCTCGATTAGCTAGCTAAGAAATTGCCATCCCTTGGAAAATATAATTCTTAATAGTGGGCTCGTGCAAATGGATTCCATGGGATGTATGGACATGGTGTGCGAGAGGAGAGGCAAGCTGAATAAGTGGACAGTTGGAAGATTTTCCCTCACACAAATGAGAGCCTCATGTATAGATGGCCTGATCCGAATAAAGAACTGGACAATGTAACAGGACATGTGAAAGGCTGCTAACTCAAGGAGGGCAAAATCCTTGAAAATGCTCCGATGGTAAGAGAGAATGAATTGTCCATGAATGATACGGACACGTCAGCAGGCTGCTAAACAATGACATCCTAAGGAAATATTACAGTGGGTCTCAGAGTGAGAATGGTTGTCGGTGGACTGAAAGGACATGTGCTGTTGCTGCTAGAAATGGACATTTGGAAATATTAAAGTGGGCTCATCAAAATGGTTGTCCTTGGAATAATTGGACATCGTCAAGCGGGAGGGCAGCTGCAGAAAATGGACATTTGGAAGATTCCTAAAATGGGCTCATGAAAATGGCTGTCCATGGAATAACCGGAACTTCATGTGAATGGCCTGCTAACTAGGGAGGGTGCCCATTTTGAATCATCTCCGATGAGTTAAGTAGAAGAATATAGTGTGTCACATTGAGGAATGACTGGACAATAGTCAAGCCAGGCTGCTATAAATGGACATTTGGAAATTTTTATTAAGTTGGTCCCCTCGTGAGAATGGTGTGTCGCGGTGGGGAATAATTGTCTGAAAAGGACAATGTGCTGTTGCTTGCTTAGAAATGGCCATTTGTGCAAAATATTAAACGTGGCGCCTCGTGCAAATCGGGTTGATCACATACCCGCGAATTATTGGGACATGGGGCAGATGACTTAGGCGGCTGGATGAGGTGGACATTTGAATCCTTGAAAGTGGCGCATTCGTGCTGACCATTAGGTTGTCCATGGGAATGCAACGGGACATGGAGGACATTGCAGTATAATAGCAAGAATGCCAACATAGAGTCGAAACCTTGATCATGTGCTTTGGTGACTAAGGCCCTCGCCAACTAGATCCTCCAATGAGTTGAAGGACACTAAATATGAGAAGAATATACTGATATACTGATACATCATCGTCGTTTATATAATGATAAATTGGACTGTGTTTTCACTCAATGTTTGACGGGGGTTAGATATCTCTGGCAATGTATAGAGCACAATCGTCAACTACTATGCATAGCTAGAAGCCATTTCTTCCTGTTTTAACTATATACAGGCTTAAAATCCTGGGAGGCGAAATCCTATTGAAAGATCTGGATTATGTGATAGGGGTGTTCCGATGGACCTCGGTGGTAATCCTTACCAGTGCGAGTTTGATTGGGTACTTCCATGCCTAGGCTAGCTAGATTGTATGACAAGGGTTTGTCAGCAATTCTTGTGAGTTAGTTTTGGTTGCAATAGAGCCATCAAAATCCTCACCGTAACCGGATAGCATGCTGATCAGGCCCCAGCTATGACGAAGTCGTACTGGCCTATAAAGCCGCTAAGAGAAGAAGTATATGAAGTAAGCACAGCTACAGAGTAATCCAGGACTGTGAGCGTGCTAATCCAACAAGTGAGATTTCATCGTGAAACTTCGATCTGCTTGGG